AAATGAGCCGTCTGAATGGCATCTGAAAGTGAACTTAAGACGATCTTATACACTGAGAAAAAGATTTCTTCAAATTTAATAAATTTTATTGCATCCGAACAAATTTCATCGTCGGCATGCTCCAAAGAAACTAATGTTTCGATTAATCTTATCTTAAATAAAGTATCTTTATCTTAAATAAAGAATTTACTCGAAACGAAAGGTAATTTTCGTATAAAAATATTATCTGTTTCATTTCACATATTCATTGTAACCAAATAATATTTAACTTGGTTAAAAGATATTATTTCAAATAATGGCGTTCTTTCTGTTAAACAATAGGGTTCTCTTGAATGAGACAATAAAATTCTTACTCAGATAAATAATATTTCGTATAAATATATCTTAATAAATAATTCTACGAAACAAATCTTAGTCAAAGAAATAGAAATGCAAAATCTAGGGAATAATTTTCCTCTATATATGTAAGATCCGACCGTGAATAAACCGGTCTGAGAATCACCCGGCAAGCCGCGAAAAGTAACGCGGCGAGTCGCGAATTAGCCGGGCCCGCTTCCACCCCTTCGGCCGGCCTCACCCTTTCTTCCGCGCGATCCTCGCTCCCGGGAAGGTTTTCGTGGGGCGCTCGCGCCTTCTCTCGCGTAATTAGCCCGAGCCGTGACCGTCAGATATTATTCATTACGACTGGATGCACGCTTCATTAACGGCGCATTCAGCGCCGCCCCGATGATAATACGGCGTCATCGAAATTCGCTCGATACCTTGGTCCTCCCGCTGGAAACCATTAGCTGCGATCGCTACAATAGCAAATTAACAGCATTACATGGAAGGGAAGTGTGCGTGCGTACTGTCCGGGAACGACCACACACAGTGTGCGTGCGTGCGTGCGTGCGTGCATGCGTGCGTGCGTGGTACGTACGTATGATGCGGTTCACGACGACTAACGACCCACGACTCCGGGAGAATACACACGTGTGTCGATTGTGGTAGCCTATATACGATGCTCGGTAGCGGCGATAAAACGAGATCCCCCCTGCCTTTTTTCTCCTTCCTTCTCTTTTTTTTCGACTCGAACGAAGCGAAGTATCGATTATGCGCGCGGCCGTCGGCACAGAAAACGCGGCGATCCGGGATGGAGCGCGATGATATCGACCGCTCGCTCGCTCTCGCGGGGAGACACCCAACAAGGCCGCTCGCGCCTCGACGAGAGGAGAAAAGTCTTCTGCCGCGCGAGAGCGGACTTTTTTTTTTTAGTCCCCCGCGCTCCGGAAGTGCCGCTGCAGCGAGGCCATTCAAAATTTCTGATAAAACTCGCGGCGCCTTTCAGCTCTTAAATCAGTTCTTAAACTAGCGCGACAGCGGTTTACAATTTAAATTTGAAGCCCGAAAGAGCGCTCGCCGCGTGTCTCCCCGAGTATCTCCGAAGACATTTTGGCCATTTTGCCGCCGCTACGGCGACCCCTCGGGCGCGAAGGGTTGACAACTCGTGCTCCCTGGGGCGTACGGGAGGGAAAGAGGGAGAAGAGAGGGCGAAACTGACCACCATCGGAGCGCCGCATCGGAAAGAGAGAGAGAGAGGGCCGAAAAGCCGCCACGCAACGGTGAGTGTCGCGGCGGCGCCTCGAAAAATGGGATCGCGTGAGAGAACGAGAACCGGTGGCGCGCAGCGTAAATAAAGCGCGCTCCTTACGCCGCTCTCCATTCCTATGTAAATGCGAGCGCGCGGATACGTACCGACGACCAGATAATTTCACGGCGCGCGCGGTCTAATTTTAGCCGCGCGGCTCTCTCGCGGATACACACGCCCGTAATGTCGCGACGTTCGCGCGCCGTCCGACCGTGTCGCATTATCGATTCGAGTCAGGCATTACTCGCGCCGAATGCAAATGCGAGATTCGCGCACGGATCGAGATTGACCGTTCTCTCCTTTTTTGCCCCCCTCTTACTCCTCTCGTTCATTTTCTTTTTTTCGTCGTCCTCGTGGCTCCGGCGACGATGATCGGACCGAGAGAGAGAGGACTTCGCGCGCAGAGGCAAAGACCGGCTGAAGTTAATTCGAGACGATTCCGAGGCGCGTTTTTCGCGACAATCCGACCGTTTCGGGAAAGATAGGATTTCTCCGCAGCGCGGGGATTTCAAAACGCGATTTACAGCGGGGAGGAATGAAATTCGCGCGGAGTCGCACCGAGATCGCTCGGCGTTTCTCTCGTCGGAGGATTGAGACAGTGCAGCGCGCGGCAGCCTCGAGTAATCCGGAAACCTCCGGTTATAAAGGGCGGCGCGATTCTGATTCCGTATGCACCGTGTACCTATTTACGTGACGTATATCTGGCCCACGGGGACGCGGTCCTCATTTTTCACCGTTGCCGCGAGCGCCCGAGCTCAGCTCAGCTATGGGATTCACGTAAATTCGGTATATACGAGTCGTGGGATATATATGGTGCGCGTAGACTTGGAAGAAAGCGGGCGAACGTGGAGAACGAAAGGAAGGCAAGGGTCCCGACCTTACTCGTCGACCCAGGGAAAGTTTACAGAGTGCTACTGCGACACGACGAAAGGGGTTGAAAGCTGGACCCGAGTCGACGACGACGACTCGGCGGCGGCGACGGCGGCAACGACGACGACGACCCTTTAGCCCTCCCTCGTTCTCTGAGAAATTGCGTTACATTTGATTCACGTCGGAATCGTTAGGGGTCCCGGGATCCCGAGATAGCGACCCACGTTTTTCAAACCGTCCTTGCCGTCTACGAAAGCACCCCATCTTCCCCGCCTCTCCCTCTCTCTCTCTCTCTCTTCCTCTCTCCCTCTTTCTCTCGCGGCCTCTACCTACCCTCCGTTTGTCTCAAATTTCAATTCGTAGCTTCTCCGGTTCAGCACGCGGTGGGCTTCCAGCTCGGTATGCGCTCCTCGTACCACTCGCGTGTCATTTCAGGCATAATCCAGACTCGCTAATGTACACTAAGCTTCCATAAAGCTTAGTGTACAAAATTACCATTTACTAGGCCAGAATTTAGAAATTTATCCGGATATAATATGATATGATACGTGATGATATGATGTTAGAATATATGATATGATGCGATGCGATACAGTTTAACTGTTAAAATGACAGATTAGTCGAATAAAATCGATATAATGTATCTATTTATTTACGGGAAATATCCCTTTGGTACAATATGTTTGACAAACGTAAAAAGGAAAGAAAATAAAAAAGGAAAAGGATACGACCTATATAAAGTACTAAATAAATATATTAGTATGAAAAGATACAATGATACGAGTACATTAGAATTTTTTGAGACGTGTTTAAATTCAAGTAATCATTAACGGCGCTTCTAAAATAGAACAGTGACGTAATAAAAGTCAATTGTATCGTCGAAATTATTAGCGAAAATAGATACACGAGTGCACGATGATATCCGATATTAAATGGAGGAAAATGTCTAAGAAATCTTACAGGGATGTTAAATATAATCATGGTTAGAGTGCTCAGACGGTCAATTGATCTTCCAGTTTCAAATGAAAACAGTAGATCAGTCAGTTTCCTCCTATCTTCAAGAGATACAGGATTTAATTCGGTGAAAATGAATCTACGATTATAACAGGTGATTGGTTAATTTAAATTAAAGCTGGTCTCTCTAAGAAATTGGTTTTGCGCGCGTTCAGTTGTATAAGTATCGATTGGCAGCTTTAATAAGGAGGCCAGATTATAGAAGCGTATTCAAGATATCGCCTCATCAACGCACAATATAGAATGTTCAGTGTCTGAATACTTTTGAAGTTTTTAAAGTAACGAAAAAGAAACTTCAATTTTTTATTCGCTAAGGTTGATATCGTCTATATATTTGTCAAATGTCAAGTTGTATAAAACTATAAAAATATTATTTATGTCCAAGTATGAATGCGTTCATAACTAAAAGGAAGACGGAAAAAACGTTGTTGTAGTTCGATGGAACTAGTCGACAACGTCATAATTGGAGTAAATCTTCCTGATTCGGTAGCAGTATAATTGAAACTGATACATCGCGCATCGCTTTTCGATAACTCAAGTCTGAATTTCGATGCTATCGCTATTGAGAATTAAGAAGATTTACCCCAATTACGACGCCGTAGGCCGTTTCTATCGATGCGATAAAGTTTTACTTCGTGTAGTGAATTTTGATCCGGTGAATGTTGAGCCTTTAATGAAATTCTGTGTATCCATATCTGTTTTGTCATCGTGCCACTTCTTTGTTAATTGTCGAAACAGTCTGACCTCTTGTGCATATATAAATTATATGTACATATGTATATATCGTTTATTCATCGGCCTCTGTATTCGTACGCAGACCAATGGAAGCTATTCTTTTCATACGCAAATGTACGGTGCGCACACGGGGATTCCGGGAATATTTTCCCCGCGATAAAACAGATAAATTCGATATATCCCATTCCGCTCGCCCGAAAGACCCTCGAATAACTCCGGGAAATTCTTTCCCTTTTCAGACGCGCTTTGCGAAATAATCGTTAAACACGATTGACGTTTTACCCGAAGCTTTCAAGAAGAGATTTGCCCGTGCTTTTAGGAAAGGAATTATTCGTACGACACAATCGGGCTAATGAGACGTCCGAGAATATACATTCTCACTTTTTAGTAAACGTGTCCCGTTTTGAATTCGTTACGGCGAGTTTGGGCGCTCCCGTTTTTCTACGTGCCGTATGTTCAACGAATGGCTGTTAAAACGCCGGGTAATTCGATGAAAAAAAAAAGGAGCGAGAGAGAGAGAGAGAGAGAGAGCTCAAGTGGCCTACTTCCGTCGTTTTCCAAAAAAGAGAGAAAAAGGAACGAATGCCCTGGTTATCTCTTTCTCTCTCTCTCTCCCCCACCGGCCGTTGTGTACCGCGGCGCGCGGAAAAAGTATCGTTAAGCCCGGCGAACGAGCGGCAAACGCGACGTTACGGGTCGCAACAACGTTGCCTTTCGTAAATACAATGGCGCATCGCCGGCTTGTCTGTTGCAGTACTGCGAGACGAGTTTCGCGCGGAGCCGCAGGACACGAGGGTCGCCGCCGGGGAGACCGCGCTACTGGAGTGTGGACCACCTCGCGGCCATCCGGAGCCGACTCTCCATTGGAAAAGGAACGGCCACATAATAGACCTGGAAGCGACGAAACGGTGAGTCTTCTTTGTGGCTCTCACCCCGCCCGGCGCGTGTGTTGTCTCTTTGAATTCTCGACATACCGAAATGCAGCGAAATTGCGTTTGCGACGACGCGGAAATGCGTGTGACAATTAAATGCGCGCGCGACCTCGCCGACAGTCGAGGGGGCGAGGACGGACCGCGAGGCCTCTCGTGACCCTCCCCCCCCCTTTCTTCTTTCCCTCTTTCTCTGTCCCTCGAGTCTCGTGTGTTCGACGAGGCAGCTGTCGCGCGGAAAGAAAGAGCCCGGAGTCGATCTCGAGCGCGGTCGACATCGCCGGCGGCGAGTTTTCCGCATCACGCGCGGACGAGATAGACGTGTAATTGAATATTAATCCACGAGCGATTGTAACTCGATTCAGACCGCCGGGCTCGGGCACGAATGAGACAACAATAAGTATATTCTGCGCACAATTTGCGCGCGCACCCTTTAAAAGCGCGTTCGTTCGCCGTCGCACCCACTTGGAGCCGCCGGCCCACCCCCGATTAAATTGCTCGCGCGAGCATATATGAGAAAGAGGGAGGGAGAGAGAGAGAGAGAGACCATCTATATGAGAATTTCGCGCTGTGTGTCTACGTAATAATGTCGCGGCGGTAAGAGCAACTTTTACGCTCGTGGGATTACGGCCAGGGGAATCTACTTTTATAGACGCCGGGCGAAAGAGAGAGTTAGAGAGAGAGAGAGTGAGAGGGGGAACGCCGGATTAACTTAATTCTAACAGCAACGCCGGTAAAAGGGCGCCGCCAGAACAAAAAAAAAAGAGAGAGAAGAGAGAAAAAGGAAATCGTATCAAACGCCGCCGCTAACACGCACCGCGCCGGCTACACATGCGCTCACGCTCGTCTTCGTTTTTCATGGATCCACGATTATTTACTTTTACATGTACGAATAGAATATGCTACACGAACGAATACGCAAGTCGAATATATTCCCATCGACGTGCGCATTCCCAAATTGTCACTCGTTAAAACGTTCGAATTAATGTATCTCCGACCGCTGCTGCAGCTCGCTGTACATCGCTTTTAATTAGGAGAATCAGGAAGAGAGCAGCGGGACGAGCTTAACGAAATTAATATTGCACGGTTTCTATTCTCGATGCCCGATTCACAGATTCGCGGTACACCGGCTCTGCAATTTTTATCAGCCGAACAGAGCAAATTCATTACGGAGAGACAGAAGAAGAAGAAGAGAGAGAGAGAGAGAGAGAGAGGGGGAGAATGACATATCGAAATTTGTCACTTGACACGATCAATTATGTACATATATGTACATATATCTATGTCCAGAAAGAAAGATAAGAATCAAAATTAAATTTTTTTTTTGTAATCATAAACTGCTTCCTTTTTTAACCGAAACGCGTTTGATATGTTCATTGTCAGGTGAATTCGGCCAAATTTTTTTCCCGTCTAAATCCATATATATATATTTTTTTATTTTATATAAATTCTGCGAGATATAAAAGACGAGAGTGACAGCTGCAGGAAGGGGGGGGGGAGGGGATCGATATAGGGACGATGGTCTATATTTATCTGTCGCCAGGCGGTTGGCGCGATACAGCCGCGAGCGGAAAAGGACTCGGGAGACTCGCAAATCGGCGGAATACGGCGGCGGAATCGCGTATAAATTCGGCAAGCTACGAATTTCAGCTCTCTTTCTCCCTTCTCGCGGTCTCTCCGTGTACCGGCGTCCCGACGGCCTGTGCGCCCCCTTCCCCTCTCTCTGTCTCTTTCGCACCGAGAGATCGAGCTTTTAAGCATACGCGTACGTGAGTACGCACACCTCGTGCCCGGTAACGACCCACGGCACACTTTCGCCGCGAACTCCACTCACCGTTCGTATCTCGGAACGGATGATTTTTTTCCCCCTCCTTCCCTTCAACCCTTCCCCGCCTTTCCGTCCCGAATCCCCGTGGATCGACTCGATCAAAGTTTCATGGGGCGCTGAACGCCTCTTAGTCTCTCTATCTCTGTTCTCCTCACGAGGAATGTCGGCGGTCTCTTCTCTTCTTCGGCCCTCTCCCTCCTCCTCCTCCTCCCTCTCGAGCGGCGAAACCATTGGAGATAAAAAAATTCTTATTACGAAAGTTCCGAAATGCACGGTAAAAAGTCGCCGGGAGATTTATCCGCGATGTCTCGCGGTGCGATGAAGAAAGAAAGAGAAAGAGAGAGAGAGACGGAGACGGAGAAAATATCGGAGGGGATATAAACGTTTCAATCGACAAATCTCATTGATCGATCCCGCGCGCCGTTTTTCGTGTTCTTTCGCCTCCGTTTGCCGCGGCGGAGGCAAAGTTTACCCGCGCACGGTTTATCGCGCTATTTTGTGTAATTACTACCATTTACCGTGTGTCGTCTATACCGTATTGTACACCGTTGGCTTAACACCCCCGGAGGGGAGGCATATAAGAGCGCGTGATAAACGATTTTCCCGTTTTCTTTCTTTCTTTCACTCCCTTTCGGATTTCCAAGGGGGCGAAGCTTTCCGACACGACGCGAGAATGGAGACATTTTTTCTGGCGGGTCTCGCGCCTCGAAACGAAACGAAGCTCGCTCGCACACATACACATTCGCTCATTCGCTCGCTCACTCGCTCGTTTCGGCGGCTATTTTCCTCTCCTTCTTCTCGATCAATAGGTACTCTCCTCCGTCGCGGCGCCCCACGTGGTCCCCGTCTCCGATCCCTCTTCCTCCTCCTCATCCTCATCCTCCTCTCCACCCAACTCCGGATTTACCGATAGAAGCCCGAAGCCGCGATAAATTAGGACAACCGATAGGAATTAAATCCGGCCGTATCGGAACGCCGAGACCGCTCTTCTCTCTCTCTCTCTCTCCTCCTCCTCCTCCCTTCGAAGCGCGGAACGAGGTAAAACGGAGAGCAGGCAGAACGACGGAAGAACGGAGAGCCGCGAAGAGGACGAGGAGAGGGGGTGTGGGGGTTAAGAGCGTAGGTAGGGGGTAATCGAGTACTACCGGCGCGAAAATTAATTGACACTATAAATTAGAGACCGCGATCGAGAGCTATCGATCGATAGTGCGGCGCGCGGCACGGCGTGTCGTCGCGAATACTCTCCATATGCGAGATATGTGCGTACACCCCCCCACCCCGGTGAGACGGCCGTTTAATCTCGGGGGCGCCGAGGCGATGTGGAGAGAACGACAGGGGGAAGTGGGAGAGCGAAGTGGCGGCAGGAATGTCAAGTACGCAGCCTTGAATACGTTTGCTCGCCTTACGCCCGCGCGTAAATATAATAATATCGGATCGGTGGGCGCGCGGGGCTGCCGAAAGTGTTTCTCCGCACATATACACACATCCCCCTAGGACGGGAAAGCAAATGGGCTGTTGTGCAGATAGGATTGGTCAACAGCGCCGTAATTGGAGCGGATCTTCTCGATTCTATGTAGCAATATTATCGAAACCGATGCCGAGTCGAAATTTCGGTCCTGCGTGAAACTCTGAATTCTGTAATGCAATAGGAACTTAGTGGGTAGTAGCAAAACAGACTCAATTTCAATTCTAATATCAAGTAATATAATTTACTTGTACTCTGATGATGTATTAAATGTTCGTTTTCGTTGTTTTAGCGTGTCTAATTTGTTGAGGGTAGCGTTAAAATGAAATCTGTAGAATTAAAGAGAGAAGAATTTCAAGAGAGAAGGTGACGAGTGTCGGTATCGTCAAAGTAGGTTTTTATTAGTGTATAGGCTATCTAAATAGGTACAGACTAGCCTTAACCCTTTCTTGCTTTTCTTCAGCCGACTCACATAAACAGCCTCCTGTGAGCGCTGTTTTGATGTGTATATATATTTCACATCATTTCAACACACTGTTGATATCGATTACATCTACAAATGCTAGCTAAGACTGAAAGCATAGCTTTGGCAACACCATACGTAGCGTACGACTATTTGTTTTTTAAGCCGTACTCATAAATTTTATATTTAATGTCGCTTGTTTTATTGGCGGAATACCTGAAGATAAACGTAAGGCGATCGTCCTTAAAGATGTATTATATATCAAAATAAATCAAACTATACCATAAATCAACCTAACACCATAAATCAAAATAATGAAAAAATCATGAGAAAATTACAAGTTGATTTATATTGCATTTAAAAGTGACGTCAAAAGTTATTCTACTTTGAAAAAAGTTGTAAGATGGAAGTGAGTTTAATAAGAATTCGCTGAAACTTGCATTGTATATACATTACAATATTATCTAACTCATTGCTCGTGCAATTAGAAAAAGATTGACTGTTCTATAGCTGAGATATTTGTAACTAAAGTTGACACTTTTTATATGTGTTCCTTGAAAAATTGGCGTATTATTTATAATTTCTACTTTTAATATCTTCCAAATTAAAAATATGATTTTAATGAAAAATTACAATGCATATTGAAGATTAATATGCATATATTATACACAAATTTTAGAATTATCGACTATTTTATTTTGAAATTACGGCGATGTAAAATTCATAATTTACAGTAATACTAAAAAATGTATACATATGCATATATTTAAATATTTATATACTTCTATTGCATCTCTATATTAGATCAACTGATGCATAAATATAGTATTGATAAGAAAAATAAAAAATAATATTTTTTTATTCGTAATATTGTGTATATATGTCTACTTCAACTTCGTTTCAAATTCGTTTCAAATTAACATTTATTATTCCGATAATGGATTAAATATATAGAAACGTAATTTTGCTCGATAAATGCTAAATTTATGAGTTGCATCTCTTGATGCACCACTGAAAATACGACACTAATAGACGGTACATCCTTAATCTCGCCGTGAGAGCTTTCCTCAGACTTGTCAATGGAAGTACATTTAAAATTTATCACTAAGAATTAGACCAATGAAATTGGGAACATTTTCATAACAGTATGATCTATAAGATTGCAAATGAAAAGTCGTAAATATTCAGGACGAAATTTCAAGCCATACTTGCATAATTTGAAAATAACTTTTCATCTTTACGATTATGGCGCTATCGGTTGATTCTATCGACACAACCACATTTTCTTCCGTTTACTATCACTTTTTTATTAGAGTAAAAACAAGACATAATTGGCATCGAAAATGGCTGTAATTTGTGGTGAGATCAGTCATTTTCTTCTGCCGGAACAATTAAATTGCGGTGTGTGAAAAACAGTGTGCGTGATTAACACGTTGACCGACCCCTCGATTTCCATCGATCGTACGGGAAAAACTTATCTGGGGCGATCGGCGAAGAAATGTGATTCCAGACACGTATATATCTTTCATCTCGTTTCATTACACTGAGAGAGGAAAAATTATTGATCTCGCTACAGTCATTTGCAGAGCTCGTTATTGTTTTTATAGTTCCTATAAAAACAAAAATAAAACTGTACCACGATGCAGTGTGACCACGGCATTCAATGTGTTGAACTATAAATTTGTTTCCGAGCCGGCCGGTAATTTTTTCTCAAAAATGTTCCACCGATCCAGCCCGGCCGGGTATGCTCAATCATCATTTATTTACGGGAGAAGTATTAGATTTAATACACAAAGATTAACGAGCATCGATATATTATGCGCGGGGGCGGTCAGAGTGGATTGTTTATGCGCGATAGGCGTTCCATGCGTGCGCCAATTTAATATAATATAATATGTATAAAATAATATAGTAAGCGACGCGATAATAATTGTAATAATAGTAATAATAACAAGGCCGTATAATAGACGAAATATATATTTCGAAATCGTTGCGGCAAATCTTCCCCATCGGTCGGCGAGGTGCTCTCTCTCTCTCTCTCTCTCTCATGGCGTTCGCGGTGCCGTCGAGTGTGTAGCAGGCGAGCGGAAATTAATCGTCGTAATTTTAGTCGCCGCCCTTATCGAATGGAAAACGTCTCGCATCTTGATTAATCGTTCATCGGGCGTTTCAGGATAACTCTCGTCGACGGGGGCAACCTGATGATATCCGACGTGAAGCAAACCGATCAGGGCAAATACCAGTGCATCGCCGAGAACATGGTCGGCACGAAGGAGTCCGCGATAGCGACTCTCAAGGTTCACGGTAAGAGCCCTAAGTTATTATCGAAACGCGTGCATAGCCTGTTTCCCCCAATTAGCCAGCACAATGAGGCAGAATTTGTCCGTACATTCAGTTATTATTTATATGCAGTAAAAACATATATTAGCTTGTAAAAGTTGGTCGGATTTTTAGTCATGCTTCTTTTACCAATAGTAATGAAACAGTTCAGTGGGAAAAAAAAAATTAAATTTACTACAGATACTAGTAATTTCTGCCAATCATATATTTGCGTTGTTTCAGTGGGAAAGTAATGATGGTAATATGCATATGAAATTATAATGTTGCTACATCAGAAGTGGTTTTATCGACTGTAAATATTTCACTGAGCAATTATAGTCACAAGTCACTTTTTCTACCATCCAGTCATTTAAGTCACTAAAGAATTCACTGTCGTCCAAAATGGGTTACTTTTTTCCTGAACTGACGTTAAATTTGTAAAATATAGACGTTCTAGATAAAATATAGATATTCTAGATATAATATATATATATATTTTTACCATCTGCTGCTGATTGCCGTTCGTTCACTGGATATTGATCCGTTCTTTCCTTATTATATGAATTTCCAAAGCGTATTATAAAAAGAACTTACTGCATATTAAATTCTCCAAAGATCAACCTAGGAAGATAGGAATAACTTTTTTTTACTTAAATGGTAAATAAGTTATTCCTGAAATTTGATGGGAAAATGTCACGTTTCGTCACTATTTTAATGTCTGAGAGATCATTCTTTGTCACCTTTTCTTCCAAGAAGCAGTCACCATCTCATTTTTTTATTCCGGTGACTGGACGGCAACGTTGTTCAGGGTACACGCTATGTTCAACTGAAATGTATCTGCGCCACCGTTATCCATTGATTTCCGCCACTCTTCAGCTAATTATCCGATCTCGTGTCTGCAAAATGACTCGTCCTCCCTCGAGCCAACGAAATCGTCGACGACCCGACGAACTTTCGCAAGCCCTCAATACACAATACACCCAAACCTACCACGGTAGTCGCGCCGCCTTAAATCGATAGTAATCGAGGGACCACACTGGTGGCACCGTGCATGTACATGTGTTTGTACGTGCGTGTACGTATGTATGGGGGGAGGGGTTTGGAGATTCGATGAAAAGCCGCGAGCAAAAAGACGGGAGAGAGAGTTCAGGAGCAGACGCTGCCGTCTCCTCCCGTGATATCGGAGCTCCGCCAAATCCTCGCTCTGTCTTGCAGTGAAGCCGTACTTCTTAACCACGCCGTCGAACCAGACGATCCTCACGGATCAGACAGCGGAATTCGCCTGCAGGGTGGGCGGTGACCCATCCCCGGATATCATATGGCGGCGGAGCGACGGCAAGATGCCCATAGGTCGGGCGCATATCCTGGACGACAAGAGTCTGCACATCCAACGGGTCGAATCCCAAGACCACGGCACGTACATTTGCGAGGCCGGGAACGGCGTCGGCGAGATATCAGCCAGTGCCACTCTTACCGTGCATTGTGAGTAACTAATCTCCCTCCTTTTCTCTCTCTCCCTCCCTCCCTGCACCTTCGTTGAGCAGCGACCGCTCGACCGTGAAATTAATTACGCGCTCGCTCGGTGCGCTTACGACGCTCAGTGAAGGGGCTCTGCCGAGAGGAGGAGGGGACGAGCGCGCATTATCGTCGCGTATTCAGCGCCGAATATGCCGCTCGTCGACTTTCGCGCCCCGCTTCGATCACCCGCGGACCGTAAAAGCCTCGAACCTGTCGTCGAGCCTGTTTGAGCCCACCCCGGAGAGCCGAGGGTGCGAGAGAGTCTCGAAGCGCGCGGAATAGGCGCGCAATCGCGACGAACGAAACGGACTTTGCGAGTCGCTCGAATAGGGTATGGACTTGGCGATATCGTGGATTTACCAAGCCGAAAGCTCCGATGTGCTTTGTTTACACCGGCGAATTAATACGTTTAATACGCGCACCGACTAGTAATTTTGCATTAAATTCGAATTACTTCGGCGATGCGAACGGTGGCATTAAACATGGATTAAATTGACGCGATATGTCTTCTTAATGAGTACCATGCTCGGATTAATACACCATCATTTACGTGCATTACCGAAATTCGAATAATTTAGTATAACAATATCAGTTGGTGTTCGTATTACATGATCGGCGGGAGAACAAAGCCCCGTTTTTGGCCAGGGTCGACTGCCGACAGTCCGTTAAGAAAAACCCAAGATCGAGGATCAAATCGGACGTTTCTGTCGCCGACGTTGTATAACGGGGAGGGAGGGAGGGGATACGATAGGCGATACGAATATACGTCGAGCCGTGTGTCGAATTTGATTCGTTTGTCACAGCGAAGCCAGTATTCACCAACTTCCCCAAGGACGAGACGGTGAGCGCCGGCACCGATGTCACCATTTCATGCGCAGCTCGCGGCACCCCGAAGCCGTCGATATTTTGGACCCGGGAGGGCTCTCAGGAGCTAATGTTCCCCGGCAACACGTATCAAAGCCACTACACCGTCACGGAAGACGGGAGCCTGAGTATCAAGGGCGCCGTGAGGAAAGACGAAGGCCACTACGTGTGCAGCGCCATTAGTCAAGCTGGTGCCAGCACCGCGACCGTATTTCTTCAGGTACAAGCCTCGTAATATACGCCCCCTCGCGCTGATTCAGTCCTCTCGACACGATTGCGTGTACGCGTGATCGAATCGGGAAAATTTCCGCGTTTTTTTCCTCCCTCCGCGAATATTCAAGTGAATACAAACCGATCTCGGGACAATCAAGAAACGTTATGTAGAACGCATTTACAAAGAGAACTTTTTATTTGCAGTTAATATATAAATGCAATTAACATGCAAATTAAAGACCGGGCTATTTTTTGCGAATGAAATTAAATTAATTGAATATTGGTTCCGCTCGATGGATATTTAATTAACGAGGTATTTTATAAAATAAATCTATCATTGCCCGAACATTTTACATAATAATTGTCTAGTACAGAGTCAGTAAGTTGAATTTATATTTTATACTTTAACTTATATTTTTAATGGAAATATATATTGCATCTCATATATTTTTATATTTCGAAAGGTTTTTAATTAATCTCACGAGTTATTCATTATTTCTTACTTCGAGTCTCAATAAAGAGAAAATTTCTGCTCCGTTACACTGACAGGTGAAACAATTATTTTACAAAAATTATAAATTCATGGAGATAAGTAGTTTAGATATCGTAACTAAAAACTTTCGAATACAAGAAAAAATGCTTTCTAAATAATAAATAATTTTGAGCATGCGAAGTTAAGATAAATATATATACACAATATTACACGAAGATATTTATTTTATGTTTTTCTTATTAATATTTTATTTATATGTCAGTTGAGCTAGAAATGCAAACATAATAGAAAGTGGTGTATAAATACTTAAAAATATACTTATTACATATATATCATGGATATTACTATAAATTGATAATTTTCTGTAGCTATATTTTCAAAACAAAATGGCAAAAAATTCGAAAATTTGTGTCTTGATACTAGTCCTTAATATCACACTAGTTTTTCCTAAAAAAATTTCATTTTAATTTCATTAAAATTAAAACTAAATGTGGTTTAGAAGAATTAGAAATAGAAGTTAAAAATAGGACATATATATCTTTTAAATGGATATATAATAAGATATATAATAGGATATATATATATATGTCTTCTCTCTCTCTCTCTCTCTCTCTCTCTCCTTGTTTTTCAGAATTATTCCAAACACACGAAATTAACGTCACGATATTATCGATATTACCTCTAATTAACAATAATTACCACCTGCTATCTCTGTTGTCTCGACGATAACAGTGATCGTTATAATAGTGTAAACTGGGCGATAATTGGCGGTTCACATCGCTCTTGTTTGTCCCGCGTGTATAGCATGCGAAAACAATGAAAACGGTCCGCAGACGGCTGCGTTACCGGCGCGGAAGACACCGCTAAGATAAATCTGTCCGCGTGAGAGACGAGCATGCACATTAAGTGGCTCGTTTTCGCGATACATATTTATATCATTTCTCGCTGCTTTTCCGTCGGGGTTCTCTTCCGGACGAGTGGAGAATTACCATTCCGGCCGGTGCATCGGTGCTGGTATCACGATGCCTAGCCCGAGGGCAGAGCTGCCCCAGATTTTGAATAAAATCCTTGTCTACATATAGAGAGTGTTACAGCGATCAACTTTGGCGGATAGAACTCCGTAACTTCGTTGCCGACAGAGCGGCCAAAGTTGAAAGATGTAATATATTATAGAAAAGAACTTCTGGATTACATATTGCGAGCGAAGTTGGTAGAGGCAATATTCGCTTAATTCAGTGGTCGAGTATCGTAAGCTCGCCGACCAATTTGCTATTCCTCCAATATCCTGGATGGATATTAAAACGAGAGATTAATATGGATCGGATCGTCGTTGGAAATTGGAGAAAATCACAGATTTCGTCGCGGATCAAACGATATTTACTCGATATTAATAGTCGTCGCTTAAAATTCGTCTCACGTAGATTATCTAGAATAAATTTATAGTCTGGGATCTGAATTTTTCAGTAGAACAATATGATATAAATGGCATGCGTTGCTTGAGAAACAAGTTTCAAGTGACGATTATTGATATTGACCTCGGATCTGAATATAAAGTTACATCTGAGTTTTTCAGTTACATTATATGGCACATTTTTAATTTAAATCTGAGTATTTCAGTTGAAACGGATTTCAAACAACATCCGCCGATACTATTCTCAGGCCTATACATTTAAATTTAGAATCAGATCAGAATTTTACAAATGAATATTATATATATATATTTTCAATCGCGATTTATAATTGGGAAATTCACATCTAACTCCGAATTAAAATCTGAATATGTCTTTTGAAAGAAATTTCAGGTGACGAGTGTCATTACCAATCCCAAATCTGAATTAGATTAGAATTAGATCAAAGTTTTACAATTGAATAGTATGACATTTGAGATATTGGATTTATAATCGCGATTTATAACTGGAAAACTCACATCTAGCTTCAAATAAAAACTTGAGTATTTCACTTGAAACAAGTTTCAAGTGACGACCATCAATATTGACCTCAGGTCTGTATTTAGTGTTATATCAAAATTTCACAATTGAATCACACCACATCGTGTTTTTAATCGCGATTTATAATTGAATAACTCACATTTAACTCCCAATCAAGATCTAAATATTTTACTTGAATCGAGTCTCAGGTGATGAATACTAATACCCCCCCAGATCCGAATGTATAATTAAAGATCAGTTTTTTATTTGAATTACACAACATACATCTATCTTATTTATTACCGCGACTCTGCTGAAAGACAGACAGACACACATCTGATTCCAAGCTCAAACCCGAGTGTCTCACTTGAAACGAGTTTCACATAACGGCTATCAACGCGAGCCCGCGTCACTCGACCGTCCCGTTTTCCCGACAAAACCAACGCCTCTCCGATAAACCCACTTGAGGCGCGAAGTCGCGCCTAAAGTAGACGTTACCGAGAGATTCCGCGTAACGATCTGAGAGAGAGTCGTGGAGATAACGCTTAGAGGCAGCCAGTGGCACTTGGCCAACGAGTGGCCGGTGGAACCCGGGTAAGGAGAAGCATCGTGAAGAAGTCTCACCGTGTCGTGTCGACGAAATATAGGTGACGTCCGTGGAGGAGACACCGCCGCCCATAATCGAGCTGGGGCCGGCGAACCAGACGCTGCCGCTGAAGAGCGTCGCCTCGTTGCCGTGCCGCGCGGTCGGTACACCCACGCCGCGGGTTCACTGGCACAAGGAAGGCGTGCTCGTACGGCCCGGCGGCCGTATCACGATGGCCATCAACGGCACGCTGTTTATCGACGACCTGCGCTCCAATGACTCCGGACTGTACACCTGCATCGCCTCCTCCGAGTCCGGCAACACGTCCTGGTCGGCCTACCTGACGGTGAGTGCCGGCGCGAGCTTCCACAGGACGCCCGACGTCTCGGCCCTGCCGCAGAACCCGAGCAAGCCGCGGATAGTGAACGCCACCAGCAACTCCGTCACCCTCACGTGGAGCCCGGGTCACGAGGGTCAGAGTAAGATCGTCGGCTACAACGTCGAGTACTACAGCAGCAACCTGAACACCGGCTGGGTGGTGGCGGCCACCAGTGTTCTCGACGACATCTATACGGTGAGTGCTCTGTGTGTGTGCGAGTGGGAAACGGCGACGCGAGGCGATCCTCGTTGACCCTCTTTTTCGATATATACCTGTGTGTGCCCCGCGTCGAGTTTCAACGACGAGACATAGGTATTTCCCGTTTTCCTAGCGCGGCGGTTTGTACCGGCTTGAGAAGTGTATCTCGGGAAGAGCGAGAGGCGGAGAGGACCGTTTGACATTTTCTGGCGTTCGCTAATTAACGTCTTCTCCGTGGAAGAACGGTTGCGACACTTTCTTTTTTTATCTCGATCGGCCCCGCAACACGGCCCGATATTCGATGAAAGAATCTGTTCCCCGGTGATTCTCGGGTGATAAATTTTTCTATCGGCTGCTGGACCCGTCGATCGACGCGAAGATGTCGCAACAAGTGTGCCTTCCGGACTGACTGCAAACACGAGTCGCTTGCTGTCGCGCTTGACAAATTCGAAAACTGCCCGGAAGACGATATTTATAGTCCAATCTTTCTAATATTTCAGATCGTCTTGAGTTTATTTCAAGGTGTTCGATAAACCAGAGGCCATAAGCGGTCCTTACAGCGTCTTAAAAGAAACTGAAAAGATCTTGAATATATAAAGTCGGACGGATAACGTGCTAATCCGTCCGGAAGGACGACATTAAACGTGAACTTGAAATTTCAAGAGCAAGGGGAAAATCGACATGCGGCCGATTATCACATTAACAGTCGTGGGCGTTTTCACGGTTTTGTTTACGCGAGAACGCAGATCGATCTCGAATATATATATCCTTTGCCCGCGCGCCAACAGGTGACAGATTTAAGACCGGAGACCAATTACGTCTTCCTAGTACGAGCGGAAAATAGCCACGGGCTCTCGCTACCCGGGCCGCTGTCCGACGTGGTGCAAACTACTAACGCAAATCAGCATACGGTACCGCAAGTGGAACTGACTCGCGCCAGAGATCGGCTAAACAGCGAGATTTTACATCTCAAAGAGGTGCAACCGCTGAGCAGCACGAGCGTGAAGATCATGTGGGACGTAAGTGCCAATCGACACCTGTCATCGCGCGAAAATGCTATCTGCCATTTAGCAGAGAGAAATAATTCGCGTGAAAAAATTCCCGTAATATATGCACATATATCTCTTTTTTCTATTCCCGGGGGGAAAAATGTCGATTTTAATCGCGATTTATCTCAGCGGATATTTAATTCAGCGCGTCGTGATATTTAATTTTGGAATTGAAGCGAACAATGACAGAATTATGGGTTTTCATTCAACACTCCTTGACATTTTACCCGCCGAAATGATCTCGTTAATCTCCGCTTACCGTAGAAAACCGTAACTGATTGGATTACCGAAGACACGGCAAATTAACGGGAGTTGACATGCATATATGTGTCTTTTACCTCCTCTTATCGACTGTTACTGTTAATTTGAAGCCTGTGAATTTAGTTAGATATGTCAAAGTTTCACAATTGAATTACATAATATACGCGAGATATTTATAATGACAACTCCACCGAGGAAATCATCTGGCTCAAATCTTAGTACACTTGAGTCGCTTTTCTTACACGGTGGATGCGTACCGTGCAAGGAATAAATCGTGTGGAAAAAAGTCGTGTAAAAATTGATCTGCAACAAAGTATAAAACTTGTGTTAAAGTAACGCAAACTGTACAAAAAGTAATTTAAAATATAGAAATGCATTAATTGAAAACTTAATTTAATATAAACACGTGAAGGAAAAGCTAATGTGTTGAGGAAAATGAAAAAAATAATTTTTTTTTTAATTAATATTTTACGAAAAATAAGCATGTAAATGTGAATAAAACGTGTTAAAAAAAAATACCGTGTAAAGAGACCCAAGTATATCAACTTGAAATGAATTTCAAATAACTACTAATATTGATTTTAGATCTGCGAATTTAGAGATATTCATCATTGGCCGTACAATCGATTTTTTATATGCACAATTAATCATACTTTATATTTAGCTTAATGAAACGGACGATAGTATTACAAGAGTCATTCACTGGTGACAGCCTCATAGTATTCAATGTGTTAATATTATTAGGTTGGTGCATGTGAAATATCGGAGTTTTGTTATGCATATTATGCTGAAGATATACTATAAATTAATACGCTTGGCAAAAATATAAATCAGCCGATATTTATACCATAGATTAACATTATCAGTTTTTTTTTTTTTTTCTGAAATATCGTACGTACACGTGATATTAATCTTTGAACCGCAATATGAGCATGTGAAAATACCTCATTATTATCCGATATGAATTTAAATTCGGAAACATTATAGCTGCGGCAGCTCGCAACATTAACAGAGTTTCTGGCGACAATACAGTTAACGAACGAATCATTCAACGTTGTTTGAAAAAATTTCGCTCCGGAGATGAATCGCTTCAAAATGGACCTCGTGGTAGGCGCGAAATAATAACTGATAACGATGTTTTGAAAACCCCGAAAAAGATGAAAGGAAAACGCATAACAGCGGATATATACCGCTGATATATCCAAATGCACGAGAAATTGAAGATACAGCGGTTCCGTAATCGACAGAGAAATCTGACATTTCATGTGCACCGACCTAATTAAAACTAGATTAATACAGTATCAGTATTAAAATTAGAAACAGCGAATAGTGAAAATTATGGAATTACGAGATTACTTTCGTCGAATTTCCTCAAGGAGAGGAAGAGAAGGCCGCGTAACAACCGCTAAGGAAGAACGCGCGACGTCCGCGACGTTCTGACAATGCGAGTAACTCGCGCGGAATTTGCATTTTAGATCCTCGGCGCGGCGGATCTAGTGGAGGGTCTTTATATACGGTATCGCGAGGTATCCGAGAAACCGGAATATCAGATGGTCACGGTGCTCAACGCCGGCGCCACCAGTTACGTGCTGACCAACCTGAGAAAGTACACGCGTTACGAGTTCTTTCTCGTTCCCTTCTACAAGATAATCGAGGGCCGACCGAGCAACGTGAAGCTGGTCACCACGTTGGAGGACGTGCCCTCGGGCGCTCCTGAGAACGTCCACGTGGGCATGATAAACATGACCTCGGCGTACGTTCGGTGGTCACCGCCGCCGAAGAACACCCAAAACGGCCAATTGATCGGTTACAAGGTAAGAGTCGCTATGAATCTCGCGTGAAAGAACGATAAATCCTAGAATACTACAGTATAGTCGGCGTCATGTATGCTGTATTATTTCTCAGGCGGAGAGTTACACGATTTTAAGCCTTACGTACAGTCTCTGGCGATGATGTCATAAAAAATACCTTTTATAAAACAATGGTTCCTTAACATCATTCGATCGATAGATGAGTCGTATTACAATGCTGGTCCTCGGAAGTCAATGAAATGTAAAAAATTAAGGTGCGTCTAATAATATGGCCGGGGACTGTATAACGCGTTGAAAATCGCGGAAGTAACTCTAGTTGCAATAGTAGAGTCGTAATAACCTTATTTATAATAGTTTCGATCTTATGTGTAGGGCTGTATATAAAGGGCTAAAAATCGTGTAATGGTAAGAAGTTTCAAAATCTAGAGAATGGTGTATATGACGCCAATTGTGCTTCCCCGAAACGTAGATATTTTTTTACGAACCCTTCTCTCTCCTCTATACGTCTCCAAGACGTAAGTAGGGGCGTTGAGGACATGGGCTCAGGATAAAGGGGCTAGTATTCTATCTAGGGTCAACAAAGAAAGGCTCTGATGATAAATAGCAAGACTATTGAGAGCCGTCGCTGGATGTTGGGCGCGATAATTTTAACCCTCCCGCTCAGATCTAAGTTAACAACCATCCAGCGGTTGCTCTTATCAGCCCATCACTCTAATCGATCGTACTTACGACTACGTTTACACGGCAACGTTAATCCGATTTAGTAACAACCTCGTGAATAAACTCGTGTATCCTATTGGTATATCTGTTTAGGTAAAAAAATATACCCAAATAAAATACAAGAGCCTGCCAAGCCCGTAGGCGCGTAAACGTAGTCTATAATAGCCGTGCTTGCAATATCGCTTGATATTCGTGTCTCAACATCCGAGCGGAAACGTCACCCCGCAGATTCAGATCAAGAGCAACAGCAGCAACAAGATACTAGGTCAGATGTCGCTGAACGCGTCCACCACGTCGGTGATAATCAACAGCCTGAGCACCGGCGGGCTGTACACGGCGCGCGTGGCTGGACTGACGCGCATCGGGCTCGGTCCTTTCTCCAGCCCTACGCTGCTGAACATGGACCCGGGACAGTTGACGCAACTGCCGCCCCGCACCGACCCGAGCCACGGGGACGCTTCGGTCGTACGGGAGACGTGGTTCCTGGTGCTGATGATAACGATGGTGTTCACCGTGATCGCCGTGTTGCTGGCCGCGGTGTACGTCAGGCGCAGGCAAGCGATGAGCAAGCAACTGGGCCATCTGAACGTACCCGTGGGCACGGCGAACGACATCTGCCAGTTGAACAAGGACACCCTGTGGCTGGAGCGCGGCTGGAGGCCCACCAACAACACCCTTCAGGGCACCACCGACAAGGACTGCGAGACCAAGCTGCTGAGCAACCAGCACATGCTCGCCACCGGTATAATGGGCATGGCCGGCTCGGAGTACGCCGAGGTGAACCTAACGACGTTCTACAACACGCGCAAGCAGATGCAGGCGCCACCCCCGGAGCCGTACGCCACGACGACGCTGTGCGTAGGCAGCCGCAGTCCCGACTCGATCGAGACCAGCGGCCAGAAGTCCAACTCCAGCGACTCCTGCCTAAAGCCGGACTACTCGAGCCTGGACTCGAATCAGGAGCCCAACAACAAGTCTACGGTGTCGCCCAGCAGCGACAACGTGAGCGGCGGCGCCTACACGGACGAGAACGCGGACGTGCAAAGGCGGCAATACAGAATAGCCGGCGCGAGCGGCGACGCGCCCTCGCAAACCGGTATGCCAAACTGGTGCGACATGCTGCCACCGCCGCCGGAACACCCGCCCCCGCTCAGCGGCTCGATGGTCGGCCGGATGCAACATCAGCAACCGGTGCCGTTCAGTCCGCATCTCGGCAAGAGAAGCGTCCAGAACGACTTGGACCACTGCGGCGGCTCCGGTTCCGGCTCGGGGAACTCGCAGAGCCCGCCCACCCCGCCTATCAGGGTGACCAACAGCTTCAGCCCGTCGCCCACACCGTGGAACGGGCAAGGCCAGTATGAACCGGGCGCTCTCCAGGTGCCGGGTGGTAACCTCTCGGTTCAGCAGGGCCGATACACGACGTTACCGCCGCAGACGAATCCACCGCCGTTACCTTCGTTCCCGCAGGGTTACAATCACTACGACTATAAGAACCAGGAGAACGAGTACGAGAGCGGCTCGGTCATCTACGGCCACCACCAGAACGGCCTGCCGGACGACTACGGCGCTCACGAGGCCGGATTCGCGCGCTCCGGCCAGCCGCACCTCACCTCGTCGGCGGTGAACGACGAGCTGTACCGGCACAAGGACGAGATGTTCCACAACGACAATCTCTACCAGCCCGAGAACGACGAGTGGGACAGGAAGTCCTGCGACTCCAACACCCACTCGGACGCGTGCTGCTCGTGCTCGGAGTCGAGTTGCCTCTACGCCGACACGATGGAATATAACAACTCGCAGTTCGGCACCACGTGCGGCCACAGGGCCGGCAGCCGAACGGGCTCCCGCAGCAGGAGCAACAGGAGTCCGCGGAGAAGGAACAGAACGTCCTCGCCCACCTACAGTAGCGACAGCAACTACTCCTGCATCCCCCAGAAGCAATGCGGAGGCACGAACTCGCAGGAGAGGCTGAGGCATAATCGTAGTAAAGGTAATTGCTACGTGAGAATTCTTTGAGAAAAGAGAAAGGGGAAAAGAAGGGATAACGAGTCTCTAGTGGTTAAGGTTGGGAGGTTTTTTTGAAAGTAACTCGTCACCGTTATCGGCGTTACCATTCAGTCGCTTAAACCACCTTTTGTCATTTTTTCTTAACAGATCACTAGAAAAATTTATTATTATCTAAAATGGGTTACTATATGTAGTCACTTTTTCTGACCTGTCGTTAAATTCGTAAAATATAGGTGTTCTCTCTCTCTCTCTCTCTCTATATATATATATATATATATATTTTTTTTTTACCGTCTTAATAAAACTACTATCGAAAGCGTACTTGTATCGTTCATGCCCTTGGATTTTCCTGTTATGAACTTTCAAACTGTGCTATGAAAAAACTCACTACATGTTAAGTTATCCAAAGATAAGCCTGGGAAAATAAGAGCAAGTGTTATTTCTTTGCTTAAATGGCTTTGATTACTCTCAGAATTTGAAAAATGTCAATGTTCGGTCGCAATTTTGATATCTGAGAGGTCACTTTTTGTCACCCCTTTTGCCAAGAAGCAGTCATTGTTTCACTTTTTTTTGTTCCGGTGACTGGATGTCAACGCTGCGTCAATCATTATTTTATATCCATTTTGAGAGATAATAATTCGCTAGACAAAAAATAAATAAATCATTGCAGTTATCGTTAAAGATAACAGTCCCGTAGATAATTCGTTAAAGTTGAAGTCATTTGTTACCGTTGTCGTTACTCGAAAAATAATGAGTCGTCACGATTTTTTTGTTGCTTTTTCCACCGAGTTTCGAAGACCATATATTTTCGACCATACATTTCGTTCTACGAGGCGCCACCATCCATTTCGCCGTATCTGTATTTTTACACGCGCAAAATAACGATAAAAGTAACGATTATATTCGTTACCGTGACCGAAAAAAATGCAATTACGTTATCTCGTTACTAACGAAAAAAATTAATAAATAACACCGTGTTATCAAGTCGTTACTGAAAAAAGATAACTCGTAACGATAACGACTTCACGAGTAGTGCGTAGTTCTTTTCCAACTCTGTTGATGGCTTTATGCAGAGTTATCACCAGATATAAAAATCCTCACGGCTGGGAACAATCGTTGGAACAATCGGCGACATTGTTAGCGCGCGCGTTCTATCAATATTCTTTCTCTCTTCCAGACAAACTGCCCGGCTTCTCAAGGACAGCCGGTTACACCCAGCACAATTCCTCGGCCTCCAACACGATGAGCAGTACGGGCAGTCAGCGATACAATAAGCTAAATAGTATCTTTCTAAGTGGTAATAATCCGAACGCTCCGACGGAGACTAGTCGACTGGGTGACCACCGTGGCGAGAGCTAAATTTTCCGGACGTAGTAAGTATCCGAGCAAGCAAAAGAAGATGAAGATGAAGAAGAAGAAGAAGAAGAAGGGACTTGTGTGCCTGAACGAACGGCCTTCGATCACAACGAACGATCACAATCACACACTCGGGCTCAATCTCGGGGATGAGGAGGCCGTTTCGCAATCAGCAATGTCGCGGTCGCGAGTACGGCTCGAGTACTGTTTGTACACGTGTTCGAGTCCTGTGAGAGCTCCGTATCGCGGATCCGAGTACCGCGGTCTGATTCGTTGATTACGAGATACGTGTGCTCACCGATACCGATCGAACTCGCGAGACAACGCGAGTCGATCGTACGATAGCCGGCCGGTTGCGATGCGAAGCGATCGTTCGATGGAACAAATCTCGCGTCTCGAACGGCCGCGTTAACGTAATATTCATAAGGAGGTTAATACGCCTCGCGAGACAACGCCAGACATTAGACGATGGGAGGGAGAGAGAGAGAGAGAGAGAGAGAGGGAGGGAACGCTTACGTTTGGCCGATCACGAGGCGAGTTGCAGCTCAAGCTCCGAGGGATGTACAGCCTAATTCCTGTGTTCGTACGGCGCGCAATAACGGTCTTCTGCCGCGGGGAAGGAGCACAACACTTGGACACTCGAGGGACTTCGATGCGAGGACGCTCGTCGCTTCTCGTGGTCGACGTCCGCGCGCGCGCACACGATAGCGATAAAGATAGCGCTTTAACGGCCACGCCGATGGACCTCCGCTCACCTCCGTTATACATAAATATACATATATATATATAGATATAGATATATAAATACAAGCGACGCACTCGATCGAGTTTTTTTTTTTTTTGAGACACTCGGATAAGGGCTTTCAAGGCACAGGATCGCGAGGAGGCGGCGGCGACGGCAGCGCGCGCGTAGTATTAATTTCCCCTTCAAGCGAACTTCTGCCAAATAGACTGATTAACGTTATATCATCGGACGCTTGCTTGGTCTCTTTGCGTTGCGCATTCTCCGTTTTTCCATTCTTTCGCCGACGAGAGACGCGGTCCTAATCGCAATATCGGGGAGAGCGAAGGCTCCGCCTCAGGAGAGAAGGGAGCGGAGAAGGTGAGCTTCTCCTCGCGAGCGCGACTTTCGAGGAGGACGTCGCTCCTTAAATATGTCCTTCGCGCGAACGGCGAGGAACTCGAATCCCCGAGCGGCTACGCCGAGGAGTTTGTGCGTGACGTAATTGTTTGCACGTTGTCTATCTGACTGCCATATTGTACTGCCATTCCCGGTGATATCCGCGCGTCGAATAAGGATGATACTCTAAGATTAGTCTAATTAAGTTATTTCCCGCGCACGCTTTTTTCGAAATGATTGCCTACTTTCAGCTGAAGCGCCTGGTGCTGAGAGAGGCACCGGACGACGACGACGACCGCGTCGAAGGCTCTCGCGCGCAGCCGCTGTGGGATTAAAATATTTAAGGACACGAGTGTCACGCGTGGACGTTTCAAAGACTTTTCGACACGGCGGTGGCACAAATGGAAAAAGAGAGAGAGAGAGAGAGAGAGAGAGGAAAGAGAATACACGGGTAACGGGTCCTCGTGAATAACGGACTAAGTGCGCTCGGGCGCGAACAAAGGACTCGTGTCGCGCAAGGCGCGCGTATGGATTAGGCAAATAGAGCTCGTCGCGATTCGCCAACGCGCGAGATAATCCTTTCGTTACGACGGCTTACGATATAGGTCCCTGGCCGAAAAGTCTCGACATACCGCTGTAGTGGTAAGACCGAAAAGTAATCTCCCTCCCGACCGCTGTAAAATATACAGCGAGCAGAGCTTGTCGTGCAGAGCCGTGCTGACACTACAGTTCGTTCGATTCTAAGCTCATTGTAATACACCACACACACACACACACACACATTATTCGCGTTAAAAAGCCGACGCACTCTCTATTATCATAATTAGATTCAATTAATTCTAATTAAAATCGTTTTATTATTTTATTAGTAATTTTATTAAAAATTTTTTTAATTTATTAAAAAAACTTTCTAATTAAAATTAATTGTGTAACAGAGGAAGGTTTCATTCTACGCGAAAAGTGAACAGACAACGTGACGGTGGATAATTAATGCGCTGATTGTAATACGAACGACTAAAGGCGGGACGATTGTTGTCGCTCTTTTGGTTCACAGCGAATACTCGGCTGCAGGTGTTGTGATCGTCGTGGCGAAAGGATTAACACGTCGCGCGCACGACGAGAGAGATAATTCGCGCTCGACGACGCGACCGACCGACCGACCGACCGATTCAACCGACGGACCTTTACCGTTGTAAAGTGTGGCATTTATTTTCAACTGCCTGTACATTCTGGCCACGACAAATGGAGCATATATTATTTTGGATATAACGTTCCTAAATCCTAAGGCGACCGAGGGCTAATTTCTACAAACGGTGACATATAATTCTTCCAAAACGAACGCACGTAGTAATATACGTTAAACGAAACGAAGTAACAATAAAACGCGGAATATACATATATATATATACATATTATCATATCACTTATGCGACTCCTGTATAAATTGTACAAAGTTACTCTAACGAGATTAGTCACTAGTTATTAATTTATACGCCGTATCGATCGAACCCGTATTACGTAAGCGAGATAACGAGAGAGATAAGGAAAAATAAGATATCTCATAGTGTACTCTGTTAATTGCACGTACACGCGACACACGACCTGCAAGACACGCGAGAGTGCGAGAGAATGTTTTCTCTCGCGTAAGGGAAAATGTGCGTTTCGAAGCTGTCAACGATATGCCGCCGGATACACAAAGGGAAAAAAAAGAAAGAGTTGTTCTCGAACGCGCGTACCTGATTCTCCTATTCTGTCGGATGTTTCCGTCGCCGTCTGAAATTTGTTCTTGCGGAATACACATTACACGATATCCAGTGAGAGGATTTATACGGGACACACGGTACATGTGCATTTGCGCAATAAATTATACACATTTTTTATCACACTCTCTTGTCAGATGTTTTTCGTCGTTGGTGTTATCATTATTGCCGTTGAGGCCAGCGTTTTCAGTGAGGATAAAGGAGGGACGTCCGTCATTTCGCAAGACTAATACACACACACACACACACAGCCCGGGTAGTCAGATCCGCACCGGTAGATTTTGCAAAATGCCCGTGTGCAATTTCGTTGGCAGCGCGCCAACGGAAACGTGACAGGAACCGCTTAGCGGAGCGAGCGTGGCAATGAGCGGAATCCGGCGTTTCGTAACCGTTTTAAACGGCGTTGGAACGGCGGAATATACGCTCGTGCCGCCAATTGGCTGTCCGAACGCGAACTTTAACGCGGACACAGCGCTGATGCCGCGATACTCCGGACGAATCTACTGCCAGCGACACACCGTCGACACTTTGCTCACTGCCGAGTAGAAAAGGCAGTTATTGAAGTAAATCGTGTGGAATATTGAAAGCGACTACGCGTGTCGCAGCGATTCGTACGTTGCAAAGCGACACTTAAACCCTTTGTATTTTTCTCACTTCGCGTTCGTCGTTGAACTTCGCGAATCGCCCGAAGCTTCGACGGAAAGCCACGGGCAACGAAGTACCTTTGTATTCGAGATCACCAACGTGTCGAGAGTATACGTCGAAAAAATTGCGCATCGTAACCGCGGAATTTCATCGTCGGCAAGCCCTTGTCTTTCTCTCCTTTGAAACGCACATTTTTAATAGGAGGGAGGGGGTGTGTGTACGTCGCGTCTACTCGCGGTATTTGCGACAATGCGCGGTATGCGCGTTCACGGCTGATACGGACCAGCGTTCCTCTCGCGATCCGATCTCCATAGACGGTTCTAGATGTACTCTCTAAATTCTTTCGAAATTCTTTCGAGCGGTGATGTTGAGTGACAGCCGAGTCGTTCGAATTCGAGCGACTTTTCGCTCGTACAGAGTAAATTTCCCACTCTAAATCGTCGAGTAAAGTATTTTTGTTGGAAATTAAAGAGTGTATTTGTTACTCTACCGTCACTCTGATCAATTGAAATATTCACTGGTGTACGGATTAAATATTCATCCTGAATTCGAATTAAATGTCCACTCTTGTTATTCCGAGTGCGATGTGTATTTTCACCATCGAGTGAATTTTTACTTGTTTTCAGTGAGAGGTTACTCCGGGAAATTTGGAAAGTAAGCCGAACTCTCTCCCGGGAATATAAGTTCGATTCGATAAATGCGATTTTTAACGGTACGTGAGTACTAGACATGATGTGGTCTGTAAATAGGTCGCGCGATGCGTAGGTTTTTACCCGGGAAGTATCGGACCAGCCGTCTTCCAGAGATACAAAGAGACGGCAAAAAAGAATCATTAGAGAGACTTGCACACCTAAACTGCAAGGCTCCTGCTTGCATATCGAGCATATTCTATATTTGATAAAATGGCTAAGCTAAAATATCGGACCCGTCTATGTTGTGAGCGTTTAATGTATAATTCGGAGAGCGCTGTTTCGCACGCCGTTCAATCGACAACTTGCGCGACCGTTTTCCCGTTTTTTTCCCCCTCATTTCGCGTGTACACGCGGCCGAAGATATCTGATAAGTTCCGGTAGCGCGTTACGGGCGAGAAAATGTTCTCTTCTCGACGTAACACGGTGCCCACGCGTCGGGATGGGCGCGCAACTTTTACTGATCGACTACGAGCTTCAATCGAAGTAACGTCGAGTAACGGACTAGCGTAATTGTAACTTGTTGAACGGCGCATTATAGCGAATCGCTCAAATTTGTTATATATATATATACATGTACATGTACGATTAGTTCCGACCAGTCGCGTGTGCCAGACTGCAAACTGCCTGAATACAGAAATACAGAAGTGAAGCACGACGGATGACGAGACAGACTTTATCTCGTGTTTATTATTCGGACGCTCAACGCGACAAAGTCACACTGCCATGTGTAAAATACCGTAAGAGGGGAGCTCACACATTGACAACCCCGCACACACATACATAATATACATACACATACAGGAATTGCAATCCCCGGGGGAGGCGACTTCGGGGGAAAATGAAAGAAACACAAACGGGGAGAACGAAGAAAGAAGTAATTAACTAACAGAGATATTGAATTAAATTTGTTAACTCGGAGAGTTGAGAAACTTAAGGTCTATCTAGATAATATATGACGTAGTGATGTAAGTGCCGGTATGCGAGTCTGTACGCGCGCCGGCTCGTGGCTGCGCGCGGATAAATTCGCATATTCAATAAAAAGTCCATCCAAGCAGGCGAGAAAACAAATAAAACGAAATAGATTGGGAATAGGTTGAGAGAGAGAGAGAGAGAGAATGTGTGTGTTTGAATGTGTGAGAGAGCGTGCGAGCGAGCGTGTGTGTGTGTGTGTGTGAATATCAATTCGATAGGCTTAGGCTACAAACGAGAGCGGGTCGTCGAGTAGCTATCGCTACTGCGGCGACACCACTGCCAGAAAGGAAGCATCTCATTATTAGATAAAACGCGTATCTTAAGTATCCGTTACGTGCGAGTGTGCGGTTGATGCGAATTCTCGCGATCTTGTTCAAATCATTGAGAGAGAGAGAGAGAGAACGAGAGGACGCGAGCGGTCGACCGTTTTTAACCAACGCTCCATTGTCTCTTTTTTTTCTCATCGTCTTCTCTCTCTCTCTCTCTCTTTCTCTCTCTTTCTCTCTGTCCCTACTCTCCTCTCTTCAAGCCTCTGTTCACTCACCTGACATCGAGGCGGCGAAGGGACGACGAGAGAGTTGATATTCCAAACGAAACGCGAGACTCCGCTGTTCGTCGGCGTCGTGTATACACGACTAATGGATCCGAAGGGGGAATCTCGAAGAAATCGGGACGATGGCCTCGAGTTGAGTGAGTGAAAGAGCTGCTTGCTCGTCGCCGAGAGAC